GATAGCTTGTTCTTGCGCAGCCAGGATTAGTGACTCTGTTTCTTTCTTTAATGTACCTGTTGTTAACGATAACTAAGTTTGTTCACTGTCCACTTTATCTTTTATTTTTTCCAGAAATTTTTTTTGCTTTTTGACACATATGATAGTATGAACCAAGTGTCTGCTGGTATTTCCAACATTTTACAGATTTGTCCGTAAATATTTTTGCTAACCTTGAGGGCAGAAAGTCTATAAACAGTTTATAAAGATTTTCTTTGTATGCAGTGTAGACATTGTTAATTTATAATTTCTATCCCATAGTTTCTGCCATTTATCTAACTCAATCACGTAGCCAAAAATTTTAGCCCATATTATCATTGTCTCTTTTACCTGTTCATCTTCCATCTTAATACTTAACAAGTAGCTATGTTTTCCTTATTAATTTTTCATCTGTCCCTGTTAATTCTCTATATAAACCATACATTTAACATGTTTCTCATATCTAGATTGTATCTGCACATATTACTACCAAGTTACCTCAATCCCTTGATCACTCAGTTCCTGCTTAGTTTTAAGTTCCCTCTTTTCATTTAAAATATCTTTATATCTGGTAACATTCTCTATATCAATAACATTTTGATAAATCAGTGCCTCCATTGTGGAGAGCCAGACTGGTATTTTCAAATAATGTTGTTCTTTAATTTTCTTTAATTATTAGTATTATTATACTACTAATAATGCATTCCTAATATAGTGTCAACATAGTTTGAGATCATGTCCCTCCAAGGTCAATAGTCCTTTTTCCTCAAGCTAATCCACAAAACTGAATCTCATAGGGACCCCATCAAAAATGCAATCCGGAAGGTAACCCCACCTGATAATATCAATGATTCAAAAGGAATTGTTCAGAAAATAAATAATTATACTTCTCCTCTATATATTCTAATATAAGTTACATATTTGGCCCACCAGTGCATTTTCATAAGAAGCCAAACTGGAAAATAATGTTATCTGTTGCAGTAAAGGGTTTGTTGATTTTGGTGCTAATCAAACATTGGCATTAGAAGAGGATAAGAATAGAATATTTCAGATGTTTTCCAAACAAGGAGGAGGAAGAACAACCATATTCCCTTCTATATTCAGAGGTTAGCCTGGAAGTTGGGGGACTATAGAAGTAATGCATTGCTATATGCAAGAGCTTTCTGGGTTCAAAGGAAATAGAAAGGATCAAGAGAAAATGGAAGGAAAGCAAGCAATGTATTAAGAATCTGGCAGTGATACGTATTCACTGATGATGAACTTGTATTGCTTTCATTTCTATAGCTAAAATACATTTAATATATGAATCAGATATTCAGACATTCTGGGCTTTTTTAGTTCTTTGAAAAGTAATAAGTAACTTTTTGGATTTTCTGAATTCTTGCAGATCTGATATTTAGCCACTGAATATTACAATGTCATCTAAGTTATAACGATATACAGTAAGGGAGATGAACAAATGACAGGGCTTGTTGCCATTGATTTCATAAAATTATTCAACATGCTGTAGACTAATGTGAAATAGTAATTATGCCCATCTACCTGGTAAATTCAAATAAGGACATGCCTAGGGCCAGTGATATGAGAAATTGATTTAATCAAGAGTTTCAAATCTCAGTAGTTTATCAAAATATAAAATACTAAGGAAAATAAAAATAATGGGAAACTAGGGGAAGGAAAAAGAAAGCATACCATGTTTCCCCGAAAATAAGACAGGGTCTTACTTTCCTTTGACACCCACACCCACAATAAGCGCTTGGCCTTATTTTTGGGGAGATCTTATTATTATTGAGGTGCAGGAGGCAGCTGGCGTGACATCTCATGGCAGCTGCTGTGTTGCCATATTTTCAGGAAGGGCTTATTTTAGCACATGTGCTCAAAAGCCTGATTGGGCTTATTATCCGGGGAGGGCTTGTTTTCGGGGAAACAGGGTAGAAGATAACATTACACGTTTTACTTTTACACATTAATATACTAGCCATTCCTATAATAACAAATCCATTTAATGGGCAAAACCAAACTCAAAATCCAGAAACTATTTCCAAGTAAAAAACATAATTAAATATATTCTCTTTTTTGGATAAGGCAATCAATTTAACCATCTCTGCTTTTTATTTTTGCAGAAATAATATATTTTTCTGTTTGCACTTAATAGTGTTTATAAACTACCATCATTTATATTAACAAAATTCACTATATTTCAGATATTTTAACCTTTAACACATTTTCCATATATATATTAAAACACTAAACTTTCCTTTAAAAACATTTCCAAAATCAATAAGTTTCAACATATGTCTTTTTACTTCTTTTTAATATACATACTTTAAAATTCATTTTCAATAATATTTTACAAACATTTTAAAATTACTCATTTTTTTTAATGAAAGGCCATTTTCAATCTTATTTTATAAACACAAACAAAACACAAGCTGCATTAAAACTCCAATTAATTCCTTAAATTTAAATTATTCTCACCGTTATCCTCATAAGATAAAATATTTTTTCTTGTATGTGCCCATTTTATGATTCTAAACTTTGCTTTAAATGAATATATCTTTTTAACTTCCTCTTAATTTAGATACTTTCAAATACCCTTTCAATAATATTTTACAAGCTTTAGGAATTACTTAAGCATTATATATAAAGAAAAAGAAATGCATTTTCAACCCCATTTTATATTAAAACATTCTTTCAATTACTGTACATATATCAGACTGATAAAAATACATCTTAATTCCAGTTAACTCATTAGGTTTAAGTCACTCCTTTCAACTTTCCTTCATAAAATAAATTTTTTGTTCTCTGGAATATCTATCGAATATCTATCTTATAACCACCTCTTTTTCTCAAGGATTTCTCAACCTTGTTAGTATCCATGAAGAAAAAGTCCCAGACTTATCTCCTTGAAAGTTTCAGATTTTCTTGGAATTTCTTTTAATTGTGTTGGGAGGTTTATATTTAAACCATCATAATGAAGATTGGTGTCAGATTTATGTTCCAAAATTGCAATTGAGTCCTTTGCATTATCAGATACTTGTGAAATTGCCTCAGTGATATGGTAGCTTTCTATACATAATTGCTTATATGAAGTAGTTGGAGTAGTTTTTTTTAACATCTCTGGAACATAGCTCGCCTATAAATGGGTAAGCTTTATTTTAAAAATTTTCAAATACATCTCTAATAATTGCTCCTCCCCCTTAACACTCTCTTTGGCTAAAGAGGTTTTTTTTTTCCTGCAGATCACTTAAAAATTATTGCCCAATAAGGATTCCTATAAATCAAAGAGTTTTAACTACCCACAGATCAAGTTACAAATTACTTAAAAATAGTAAAATAAAACCACAGCTTTCTACCTTAATTTCTGTATTAAAGTTTTTTTTTAAAGATACTTCCTTATTTCCTTATTTTAACTTGCCTTCAGCAACCCTCTTCCTCCTTTAACAATAAAGAAATCTCCAAAATGATGCAGATCTTCAAAAAGGAATAACAAGCAGTGGCTAAAGAGAACCTCTCTTAGCTTAACAAAGATTAATAGTTATTAAAAATGATTAAGAAATGAAAGCCACAACTTATTGTCTGTTTGAAAAATAAATTCGGAACCAGCAGCTGCCAGCTTATCCCTCACTCCAAAGCCCAGTTCCTGAAGTTACTTTCAGTCCTTTGTTGTATGGAGATTTTGTGGGATGATTCTAGGACTCCCTAATCCAGGAGAGTCGTATAAACTAAAGGAATGTTGGTTGGTTCTGTTACTAAGTTGAAAAAGTGGAGAAAAACCCTTCAAATCTCTGCATGGTCATGTGATGAGTAGACCATCTTCACCGAAAACTGTTGATTTGACAATCAGAGTGGACTGTTACAAACTTTGACTGTCTTCATTACAGTAAATAAGTTGCCAGCAGTTTTTAGATACCTGTTTTTCCCTGAAGCCTTTAAAAATAATAATTTTTGATGTTTAGCTATATTGAAAATATTACAGTACAAAATTATTTCTCAAAAATTTCCAGTGATCCTCAGAGCTATACTCCTTAAATAAAAAAAGATTGGGAATATTATTGAATGTTCTCAAGATTGACTGACTTTTGCAAAATCACTACAACAAAAGGATCTTCCAGCCTCTTCTACTTTTGCTAAAGTCAATGTTTTGATTTACTATCAGAAAAATAGTAAGCATTCTATAAAATAATGTACCTGTGGTAACTACTGGCCATTTCTATAGCAATATATAAACCTTCAAAGATGTACAAGAATGTTTCAAATATTTGTTAGAAATGCAAGTGTAAAGAGGGTACTTTTTATCATATGTGGTGGATATATGACAAGGTAGTGGATACAGATCCATGGTTTAATGTAGAAAAATGGAGATCAGAAAATTTCTGTTAGGACTATACTATTAGAGAAACAAATAGTGGGGGGGAAATAGAATTTTATATACTCAGAAATTGAAAGAAGCATTAACTTCTACAATGGAGGAATGGGTTGAAAAGATAATAGAATTGATGGAGATGGTGAAGTTGACTGCACTAATTAAGAAACAAGAATGTAAATTGTTTTGTAATTACTTAGAAACTGCTTCTGGACTTTCCAGAAAGATAGAGAAAAAAAGAAACTTTTACTTTGGGTAAATACAACTAGATGGCTTATTGCTCTAAAAATGGCTAGGTTACTATTTGGTATAATTAAATAATTGATATTTCATTTTTTTTATTCGCTGCCTATTCACTATATGGCCTATATAGCTATATAGCTGCCTACTCACAGCAACTCTAGGTGGCTTACAGATAATAAAAACACAATGTGGAAAAAATAAAAAAAATAAAAAATAAAAGAATAACTCCCACACTCCCTTGGTGACAACACACACTTAAATCAACCATTTATATAGGGCTCCAACCCATTGTAGGTTCCCCAAGCCCTTTGGCAAAATCGCGTCTTTAGAGGCATATGAAATAATGTCCGAGAGGAAGCCAGTCTAATTTCTGGAGGGATAATGTTCCAGAGGGAGGGAGCCACCATGAAGAAGGCCCCTCTTCTGGGTCCCGCCAGATGTACCTCCTTAGGGGACAGGACACACAATATTCCTTGCTTCCTCACTCTAGTGAGTCAGGTAGATGTGACCAGCAAGAGATAGTTCCTCAGATAACGTGGTCCCAAGCCATGAAAGGATTTAAATGTGAAAACCAGTATCTTGAAGTGCATCCTGAAGAAAATTGGTAACCAACGCAGCTCCTGCAGGAGAGAGAAGATATTATAATTTAATTGTGTACCTTAACTGAACCGAAAAAAAGTCGAAATCCACTGGCATTTAAAAAAAATTCTTTCCCCTTCTATAACATCTATACCCTTTTTTCCATGGTCTTTATATGTATTTTATATTAAGAAAAATAACTTCTAATAAAAATATATTTTAAAAAAGAAAAGTAATGGGAAAATGTAATTAATAGAGTCTAGCAAGGAAGAAACCATCGCTCTTTGAAATATTGTTGATCTTTGTCCAGATTGACTAAAAGGTAGCAGGATAACGTTCCAGATGTTTTTGAGGAGTGTTCTATGGGGAGATGAATGAAAAATCGAAGGAATAGTCTCTGCAACATGCTTATTGGGTGGTTTTTATGTTTTATTTCCCTCTATGCCTTGTAATTGTTGGGAATTTGGGCCTTCCTGGTTAACGTAGAAGAAGATTAACTTTTTCTTTATTCAGCCCTCTTAGAGGAGGAAGCAGAGTCTTCTTTTCTTAAGCTAGCAGACATGTTCTTAAAGTAAGGGAGTATTTTCAACTCTGTGAGACTCCTACTACCAGCTTCTTTGTTGTAAAAGTGAATCCCCAGCCTTGCAGTTTCCCTCTCCCCCTTTTTCCTTCCTTTTCTTATCTGTTCCACCAAGAAGTGGACCAAAAGACCTTCCTTCGTGGCTTCCTACAAGCAAAGTAAGTAGTAAAACTATAAAGTTTTTTTTAAAAAAATCATGTGAAGTCCTTATTTAATGACCTACGGTGATTCAGTTACTGGTAATCAGGGATTGCCAAAACTATTATTAAGTAGCTGACATTGCACTTATGATCACATTGCTTAGTGAAAAAGATTCTGGTCCCAATTATTAACATTAAGCTAGGATTACATATATAGAAACTTTAATTTCTATCTTTCAACTTTACTAATAAGATATACAGAAAAACAGCCCCACTACCATTCTCAGTAGCTGCTCACAACCACTTCGACTCCTTCATGTGTTTCACTGAATATGTTTTCAAAATCTTGGAAATAATGCTGCTATGAACATAGAAAAAATTGATCAAAACAGGTTTGTTATGTATCATTCAACTATGAAAAAGTTATGAAGAGATAGTCACAAAATAATTTTTATAAACACATAAAGACATAAAATGTCTTATAAAGACATTTTTTAAATATGTCTTATCATTTAAAAAAAGGAAAAACAAAAAAATGAAGCAAAAAAATTAATTGATGTAGAAATGTATTATTTATAAGTATACAAAAATATTACCAATATTTACTCATTGTATCAATGATTGGAAATTAACAATGGAAAACATGGAGTTACATTTATATACATTAAATTGTTTTAACAATGTAAATAAGAATGAAATATCTGAGCTACATTCCAAAATTTTCATTATTTGGTGTTTAAAAATACCAAAATGAAAAAACGGGGAAAAACTACTAAAACATATATAAATATTGTTCTAATTTCTTCTTTATTGTTCTCCCAACTAATGCACAATATTTCTAAATTTCCCTAGAACACTTACAAAATTGTGTGTTTTTAATTTTAATTATTTAGCCTTTTAAATTTTTTTTAAAAAAACCTTGTCCATTTGTTTTAATGGCAGCCACTCTGGGGTACATGCTAACAAAAGCTAATGTATTTTACAAGTTCTAAAATTAGTTGTGTTATATTTTCAACAGAAACAAACAACTCCCCAATCTTGCATTCTAGATTTTAATTGCTTTAAAGCACAAAAACAAAAGAATAAAATATAAAGGGAAAAACTATTATCGTGAATTACAACAGTTATATGTATGTGTAAAGAAATACAGCTCAATTGTTTGTTTGTTGTTGATAGTTGCGAAGTTGTGTCTGACCCATCGCGACCCCTTGGACAACATTCCTCCAGGCCTTCCTGTCCTCTACTATCCTTGGGGGTCCATTTTAGCTCACACCTTCTGCTTCAGTGACTCCATCCAGCCACCTCATTCTCTGTCATCCCTTTCTTCTTTTGCCCTCAATCTTTCCCAGCATGAGGCTCTTCTCCAGTGAGTCCTTCCTTCTCATTAGGTGGCCAAAATATTTGAGCTTCATCTTCAGGATCTGGCTTTCTAAAAAGCAGTCAGGGTCGATCTCCTCTAGGACTGACCGGTTTGATCACCTTGCAGTCCAAGGGACTCTCAGGGGTCTTTTCTAGCACCATTGTTCAAAGGCCTCAATTCTTTGGCGCTCAGTCTTATGGCCCAACTTGCACAGCCATACATTGCAACTGGGAAAACCATAGCCTTGACTATATGCTCTTTATTGGCAGGGTGATGTCTTTGTTTTTTAGTATGCTGTCTAGATTTGCCATAGTTTTCCTCCCAAGGAGCAAGCATCTTTTAATTTCTTGGCTGCAGTCCCCATCTGTGGTGATCTTGGAGCCCAGGAAAATAAAATCTGTCACTACCCCCATTTCTTTCCCATCTATATGCCAGGAATTGAGAGGGTCGCATGCCATTATCTTAGTTTTCTTAATGTCAATTGTTTAACAGCAGATTAAACTTGACTATATTAGTGTATTACCCAGTATTTCTATTCTACTGATAAAGATGTAAATCAGAGACTGAGGGGATATTTCATCTAGCGTCAATATTTTGTATCTATATGTAACTAGGTTTTTTTCTGTTGATTTCTGTAGGATGAATAGATCAATCTATATTGATATGTGACATATTTCCAAGGAAGTATACGTGGAATTATACCTTAAATCTTGTAAAAACAAACATTTATACCTTAAATCTTGTAAAAACAAACATTCGGCCTACTTGAGGGTCTTCTGGATGTCATTCTTAGGAAAATTTAGGGTTAAATTTCTCTTGTTATGCATTCTTGAGCCCTGGAGAGAAGAACACTTAAGGATTATGAATTACATTTGTCATGTAGGCCCAGTTTAGACTTGCTGCTTTAGTTTTCCTTTCTTACAACACTGTAGTCACTATTGAAAATGCTTTCTTGTGTACACATTACATGCATATGCATATACATAATTTGGTCCATGCTTTTTAAAGTTCATAGTTTATAAAAACCTCAGCTGCAACCCCTGCTCCCTGGAATAACATACCCCCTGAGGTCAGATCAGCCCCCCCCCCCCTGGTTACTTTTAAACATCATTTACTTAGTAAATAGGGTTCTTTTCTAGCAAATGTTTGGTTAAGAAAATTGTAATTTAAGGGCAATAAGCGTCATATTTTCTCTTTATCTTTTTATTATTATTTGATATTTAATGTGGTTATTGCATGCTGTTAGAGTTCCTTGAGTAGATGGCATATAGATTTTCTGTAGATAATGATTGCCTGAATATGGTGACTTGAAATTGAGTATAGATACTTCTTAACTTGCAACCAATCAGTGATTGTTTGAAGTTATGACAGACCCTGAAAATGGGCTTATGACTTGGATTTGAACTTCTGATGTCCAGGCCTTCTCTGTGGTCACATGTGGCCACATTTTGAGTGCTCAGCAACCAATCTTTTGTAACCATTGCCAGCATCTCACAGTCGTGTGACTGATATTTATGATTCTTTTGCTGGAAACCTGTATTTACTTTCAGTTCCTATATCATTGGGAACAATGGGCTTGCTTAATGACTGCAGTGTTTGCTTTATGACCACCATGTTTTTTTTGTAACTGCCACATTTATAACGACTACCACAAAAAATGGTAAAAACATGACTGTCATGATTTTTGACTGAAATTGTGGGGTCAATTACAGTCATAAGTAATTTACCTGTAATTTGTATGTGTTAATCTAATTCCTGATTCATAGTTTTATATTCTTTGTGATCTTAAACAATAAAAACAACAAAGATCCAAATGCAAGCCTGATTTTGGAACATAAATTACCTCAGTTGGTCTTTGAAATGACTTGAGGTACAATCTTTCTCTTGGAGAGGGACAAATAAAGTAAAAATCTTTACGTTTTCTGGATCTCACAGTTTCTGGTCCCACTGGTCATAGTATCTTCTAGATGAGGGGTGTCAAACTCAATTTCATTCATCAGGGTTGTGTTTGACCTCAGAGGGCCGGGGCTGGACGTGGCCATGGTTGGTGTGGTCATGGTGTGGACCCTCCCTCACATTATACAGGTAATCCCTGAGTTACAAATGTAATAGAGCCTGCCAATTACATTCATAACCTGAGGATTCGTTTGATTGAACCAAATTAAATGAATGTGATCACTCCCTGCTTTTCCCCAATGCATTTGTTAATTAAATGCACAGGTTATTAAATGCACATGAGGTATCTCAGAGTGGGAAGAGCATGCGAGGCCTAGTGCTGGAGCAGGCCATCCAAGGCCTCCCCCAATTCACATAGATACCTCATGCTCCCCAGTAAAGCCCATAGAGGCTGCATTTTGGCCTGTAACAGGCTGGGGAGGCTTCTGGAGGCCCCTGCACATGCCCCTGCACACGCCCCATTTTTGCTAGCAGAGGCACTGCGGGCCGGTCCTTTGCTATTTCCAGGCTGGCCCCATGGGCCAGATCTAAACACCCTACAGGTCGTATCCAGCCTGCAGGACTTGAGTTTGACACCACTGTTCTTGATAAATGTAATTGAATGGCAGTGATTTGTCCTGGATGACCATTTCTAGAAGTTTCTAAAGGGGATTATTGCTGTGCTGAGGCAGTTTATATTATGAGGTGATTCAGTGCTCCTGCTTTTCAATATATTTTTATAAAAGTACTGCCCAATTAGGTGCACCCAGGAAGCCATCTAAAGAACACCAGTCATATTTTCCAAAAGTCAATGTTTTTGAGCCGTATTATTTCTACTAGCAGTCAAGATCCTCGTGACTAACCTTACTTAACACATACCATTAAAATAATGCATTAACATTTTAAGAAAGAAATTCAAGAACACAATCCTTCCTTTGAAGAAATGTCAGAACAAGTTGTAATCTAGAGTTAAAAAATAAAAACCTTTCTGTTAAAAAGCTTGTTATAAGCTTGTCATTGCTCTTTAAGAAGCATGAAGAATGTTGATAGTATTTATGTCCTTCACGGTGGATTCTTTTAAAGAATCTTGCATGAGGCAAAAGAGTATCTGCCAGTTTTTAATACTTGCTTTAAAAAAGGTGTTTAAAAATTAAATAAGCATTGTTAAACAGAAACATTCATCTGGAAATATTTTCCAATGTTTACATTGGGTTTTCTTATCTTCCTATCTCTCTCTATGTTTGTGTGTACTGAAGTAAATGACCTCCATAAAAACATTGCAAATGATTAAACTCCTTTAAGATGTCAGATATTTAACCTTAATTAGAGACTTTAATGTAAGTGGTCTGGCTATGCAGAGCCTGTTCACCTTTAAATTCCTTCTGCCAAAAAGTTAAGAACATTGAATTTTTAACAGTGTATTTTTACAATGAACAGAAAGTTGGATCCTTATCCTAGCTCAGAATTGCCCAACTTTGGCAACTTTAAAACTTGTGAACTTCAGCTCCCAGAAATGCCCAGGCAGCATGACTGGCTAAGGAATTCTGGAAGTTGAAGTCCACAGGCTTAAAGCTATCAAGGTTAGACATTCTTATCATATATTATTTTTTTCTTTTCCATGATTCTTCCCCTCCTCCTTTAACAGAGTACTATATCCAAACGCTTGTATTTTATCTAAAAGTATAATAGTCCAGCTACTCTAACATTTAGATAAGTTAGTATAATTTTTCTTTGCCACAACTTCTTGTTTAAAAATATATACAGTGGTATGTTGGTACTCAACTGCTTTGAAACTCATCAAATTAGGTACTCAACGCATTTTGACATGAAAATCTTGTCCTGGTATTCATTGTTTGTTTGGTAATAAACTCAGAACCTAGAGCTTGTCATTGTTGTCTGCCTCATGACTCACTACATTATTCCTTGTGTGAAAAATGTACAATAAAAATATAATACAATAAAAATTCAATATTATAGTATAGAGAAGTTTGACTATCTGGATCCCTTGTTATATGTTCTGTTCTGTTGTGAATTCAGTACAGTTTCTTTTTCTTTATAAGCTTCATTTTTATAAAAAGATATATTGTTCTACTAATGATTTCTACCCCTTTTACTTAGCATTTTTCTTTTTCATCCTTCTTAGGTTATTTGATGTATGCACAGTATCTCGAACTGAACGAGAGACAAAATTAACACTGGTGTTTGAACATGTTGATCAAGACTTGACCACTTACTTGAATAAAGTTCCAGAGCCTGGTGTTCCTAGTGAAACTATCAAGGTATCAATAGGGGAGTGGGGAAGAAGAATTTGTATATAAGCTTTTTATTAAATGTATAAAGTTTTTGAAACATACCTTTAATAAAAACCATTTTTGAAGAAATATGTATCAAATTAAATGTATCTTAACTAGCTGTAGTTGTTTCATGACTAAGAAGAAATTTAATCAAACTTCAATTCATGTGGTTGACAGGTTGAGGTTTCTCACCAAGCATGGTTGGTAGTGCATTTTATCGATCAGTTATAAAGGACAAGGAACCAGAGGAGAAGATTGCCATAACGTTTGTGCTTACGCTTTAAAAAGTTCTGTGTGTTTATTATTAGCTGTTAAAAGGAAGGAACTACAGCTCAATGGTAAAGATCATGTTTTGCATGAAGATTCCAGGTTTTGTAGGCATTTCTTTCCATAGCTTAAAATGCTTGCTACTACTTATAGTAAAATGAAAATGCTGAGTCAGATGAAGAAGTGGAGGCAGTATAAGTAACTGCCGTATGATTTTGATATGATGATCTACAATTTTGTTATCTCTTACCTTGATTCCCCCCCCCCCCATTTACATTAGTTATACTGCTAGATAGGGATGAGAAAATCACAAGTGTCTGCAAAATATTCTAGACTTCTCAAGTAACAGAGTCTCCAGGGATTGTATTGATAAATGTTAGAGACAAAGTTATGATTTTTTTTGGTGGCATGACTTTTTCCAACTTATCCTTATTAAAAAAGGAAATGATTATTTGGAGCACACATTGATGTACACATCATATTTGTCAACAGCTTCTTAAAGGAAGTGTTGTCCTTTTTCCCCCAGACCATTGCTTCTTGGAGTAGTTGGCAGGAGGCATGATGTGCACATCAGTATGTGCTCCAAATCATCTCTTCCCTTTTGAATCCAGATGTTATAGAGTCCTAATAACCTCTTGTATATTAAGAGTGTATTTAAAAGCAAGAAGTGTTCCCAAGGAGATGCATGTATGTATGTAGATATTTCTATTCATATCTGTGCCAGTTGTTCCAGAAATCTTTGAAAATATGTTTTAAAAAAGGAACTACTTCTTTTCTAAGCATCTACATAGTTCATAGCTTTCCTGCTGAAGTCAAATAGACTTAGTGGTTAACCCTGTGACTGACTCCTGAGGATGATATCAATGGGGAAAAACTCCAAGCAAATTCTCTTACATTTGTTTCTTTCCAAATTTATGAAAAATGTGTACTTTCCCCTTTTTTTCTTGCTATGTTCTATTATCACCATGTTATTCCAGTTTCTGGTTTTTTAAGTTTCAAATCTGTTCAAATAGAACTTCCTTCATTTTGAGAATGATTTTATCTTCTAAGGGAAGTCCAAACAAAGGCACACATTATTAGAGTTAAAATATAGCTCACTGCAAACAAAAAATAATGCATGGAAACATTCATGAAATACAGAGCTGTACTGTTTGGGTGATTAATCCTTTAGACATTTGGCCGATTAAAATATTTTCACTTCAATAAAGTGGGCCTAATATTGCAGAACCTAAAAGATCATGCAGTTAAGGGAAAAAAGGCACCCAGTTAAAATTCTTATAAACTGGCATTTCTTCAGAATGGAAAAATTCTATCCTCTTCTCTCTCTTTCTTAGGGTAGTTGATGTATTTTTGGTTTTTCTTTTCCTTTTTCCTTTCTATCAGTATGCATGCAGGATAAGATATGAGGAAAAAATTATCATATTATTTTTAATATGGTAAACCAAAGATTTACTTAACTGCACGTACATACTAAAGACATGCAATAATTTCAGCAGAGAAATATCACTCTATTATTTTTAGATGTATATCATTTTAAAAAGAATTTGGTATCAAATGTTAAACCATATTTTAGTGTTATGCAATCTGTTTGTCATTGGTCATGTGAAATTGTTCATAATATTTCCTTCTGTTTTCAAATAACTTCTGTTTCTTATTTGCTTAAGCAAGCCAACTGCATAACCCACAGTTTTACTTATTTTCAACAAACAGTAGTTAACATTAACCAGAATTTGATGGTTAAAGTTGTTGGTAAGCAAAATCTTCTAAAGCACTTACAATTGAATCAAAGAAGAAAAACAAAGAGAAAAAGTTAAAGGATTTTTTATCGTGATGCCTGGACTCAACTAACATATCAAGTACATTTTGTTTTCAAGGGTTTTGATTGTTGCTGTGACTACAGATAGCTAGGAAACAGTCTTGTACTTGACTTCAGAAATAATATGCCTTGACTGTATAGGAACTTTTGCAATTCCATAGAAGTCTCTAATGTAGAAGAATATAATTGTTGGAGAACAATAGTTAACATGTTTGAAATCCAGTTGTCAAAACTGAAGGCATAGGTCACTTTAAGCTCTAAGTATGAAAAAAAGCAATTTTGTGTAGAAGATTGAGGATTGAATAAAATACAGGTTGCAGAAACAGAACAACATTGTAGAAACAACAATTACAAATAATCCTGGACTTATGGCCATTCATTTAGTAATTATTTGAAATTACGGTTTGATTTTAAAAAATGACTTATATCTCCATAAACATATGCATTGCTCCCATTCTCAAGATGTTCAGGG